GAAGGCCCCCAGGGTGGAGAGCCCCAACCACGAGCCCCTGCAATCGGCAGGGCTCACACCACCTTGTCCTCGGTGTGGCCCCAGGAACCTGCTCTCCCGGGTCAGGGCCACCCACCAGCAGGGGTGTCCTGGTCACGACACAGTGGCCCCGGGGCTGGGAAAGGAGCATGCACCCGAGTCCCCACGGAGCTTCCCGGTGACCCCAGGCTGGGGCAGCCGACAGCCACATGAAGGCGGCCCGTCAGGGAGCGGGGCAGGGCAGCCTCCCCAGGCAGAGGGCTTCAGGCCCCTCTGAGGCCTCTGGGGAGGGCAGGACACAGCAACTCTCACAGCTACTTCCCCCAGTGGCAGTGTGGCCCTGGGGAGTGGGGGGAGGGCCTAGCCCCTTCCTCTCTACAAGCCACCACCCATCCCCAGGGAGGCAGCCCCCACCGCCTGAGCAACACAGGGCCCCTTCCTGTCCAGGACAGGGAGAGGGGAGCTGCACCCCAACTCCCTCCGCCTGATGCCAACCCTCGCTCCAGCACCCCCCCACCCCCAGCACCTTCTCACTCCTCTCCAGGTCCCTCTCGGGTTCGTTTTCAGGTGAGCCGGGCAGGTGGGGACCGGAGCTCTGCAAGGCCTCCAGCTAGACGCTGCAGCCGTGGGGAGGCACGCAGCCCCAGCTCATTCTATCTCCCAAGGAAATGCCCATTAATGGCACTGAACGAAACCCACCGGCACCAGGGCAGAGCAGGACTGCCCTGTGGGCACCGAGACTTTGAAACTCTACAGGCACGGGCAGCCTCCTCGTTCTTCCCAGGGCAGCTGGTGGGTTTGAACCGCCGGCCTTGCACGTAGCAGCCTCCGTGCCGTGGGCTCCGGACGGCACTGGCTCTGGGTTTCTATAGCAGCCGTTTATGAGGGGCCATGCTCCCTGCTGGTGGGCCGGAGGAGCCTCAGCCGCGGCACTGGGTTTGCCACACGGGGCCGGTGTACTCTGCTGGAAAGGGCTGCCCAGTAACGGCTTGAGGGTCTGCAGGTTCGAATCACATCATCCGATCCTGCTCCATCTCTGCCTCCTCCCCCACCAGCCTGTCGCCACCCACTTGGGTCCCTTCTGAGGCTGTAGATGGGGCCGCCGGCCGCCCAGCCCCTGCCTTAGATGAGCAGGTGGGCTTCCTGCTTTGTCTGTTCCTATGGCGACGACTCACGGTGACTCGCTGTGAGCTGGGCAGCGGTGTCCATTCTCAGGAAAAGTCCCGTCCAGTCACTTAGTCCGCTTAGCCCGCGGGCGTGTCGCCGTCCTAACTGTGGTCCGTGCTGGTGGGCTAAAACTACGAGGTACGTTGGACGGTGCTCATGAGGCGCAGGAGTCTTTTGTTGGAAACGCTACTATCTGCCGTCCACACTGCTCCCGGCCCCCAGATTTCTCTGAAGGCAGGGTAGCGCCCCCCCACCCGTCGGCCAGCGCGTCCTCCCGGGGCTCCTGGGGTGTGGCTGTGAGACTGGAAGCTATGTCACTCACGATCCGATACCAGCAGAGCTTCCAGGCAAAGAACAGACCACCAGGAAGGAAGAGGCTGTCCACTTCGGCGGAATCGCGGCTGAAAAGCGATGGAGAGCCCGGAGCGCTGTCGGAACTGGGGCCTAATGAAAAGGAGCAGGCTGCTGTCGGCGACAGAGCCCCTCAGGTGGGAGGCCCCCCAGATGCAGCTGAGGAGCAGCCCCCCTCAAAGGGGAGTTGCCCACAGTGGTGTGCTTGGAGGATGGCCTGCCGGGCCTTCCTTTGCAGACGGGACGCGCAGCCGCAGACACCCAGTGAGACGTGCCGGCACTGTCGTGTCCCCTTCCAGGTGATTGCCGGCCTTGAGTGCCCAGAGCAGGGCAGGGCCGCCCCCCAGGCCCACAAGGCTGTGAGCTTTCAGAAGCAGGTCCCCTCGGGTGGGTCTGAACCTCCAACCTTCGAGCTAGCAGCCGAGCACCGAGCCACTGCACCGTCAGGGCCTCCTGCTGTTGGCACTGGCACTGGGGTCAGGGGCCCCTGTGTCCTTCCATCATCTGCAGTCCACTAGAGACTTGAGAGTGAGGGGGTGGAGTCCCAGGTCGCTGCTTGATGACCTCATTTGGAGGCGACACGGAGATAAATAGCTCGCTGGAGGCCAGACACAGACTTTCTGCTCCTTCTCCCTGTGAGACATTCCTGTTGACGTGGAGCTACGCTGATGGCAGCCAGGGCCTCGCAGCCGGAGAAGCTGCGTGGAGAGACCCACGCCAGCGCTGAGATGCTTCCACCGCCTCTGGACCCACAAGACCTCCCACCCACTGGCCTGTGATCTTCCTGCATCGGCATCACTGCGTGCTTTGTGTGAGTCTAAGAGGAATTTACAGATTGGTAGGGGGCAGATGGGCAAATATCGGACGTATGGACTTGATCTGAACTGGGCTGGGCTGTTTTCTCATTATACAATTGCTCTTCGATAGAAATAAAGCTCATAGACAGTTGTGTCTATGAATTTGTTTCTCTAGTCAACCCGGACTCACACAGCCCACGAGCCAGTTCCGACCCAGGACAACAGGAAGAGACACCACTCAGTCCTGCTGTGGCAGCCACTGTGTCCGTCCATCTCCTGGAGGGCCTCCCTCCTTTCGCTGCCCCTGCGCTGCACCATGTCCTCCTGAGACCGTTCAAAGAGCCGGATGAAGCCTCCCGATCCGCGCCTCCGAGAGCTCTCTGGCTGGCTGTCCTGGGGACCGTCGACGGCACTCCCGTACACTGGCTACAGGCAAACGCGTCTCCAGTCCTCCTCGTTCAGTGTCCACCTCTCACTGCACACGAAGCAGATGGAAACCCAGACCGGCTTAGGTCAGGAGCACCTTTGTCCGCAGTGACCTCCTAGCTCTTCAGTAAGTCAGGGGCAGGGTCCATGTCCACAGTTTCTGGACAAGGCAAGGACGCTGGGGGCAAAGGTGCGGCCTGGCTGGTGTAGGTTTCAGATGTGCCCGTCTCACACGTGGATATTCATATTCCCGTGGTCTTTCTGCTGACTGTTTCTGTTCGAGTCTCCGGCCGGGGCCCCTTCTCGTCTCTGTGTAAGTGGTGGTGACCCTTTGGTCTCAGAGGTCATTTAAAGGAGCGCAGTGCTCATGGGTGAGAGCAGCATTTTCTTGTCACCCTGCACGGTAAGCCCAGGGGACAAGCTTGTGGGCCGTGTCTGCCAGCAGGCTCCACTCCGGGTTCTCAGCGCTGGGTGGGACCCCGACCTCATCCTGAGGCCTGGCCGGAGGTGGAGATGAGGTGCCTGGGCCACACTGTAACTCCAGCACACCGTGCCTTCCTGACGGAGCGAGCTGATCTCAGGCCCACAACTCAGCATGGCGAGAACGTGTCAGCTTGACTGAATTAAGAAACCCCTGAGTCTTGAGGGGGCGGGGGCAGCCTTTCTCTAGGACTGTGGCTGGAGCTCCACGGAGCCCACAGAGAAGGACGTGGCTGCCCACAGGAAAGACAGGTTTGCATCCACCTGGCAGGCAGGGGTCACAGAGCAGACACGGATGCCACGCTGTGTCTGGTCCAGTGTGTCCTCCGATGCAGCGCCAGCCCCCAGGCAAGACCTTCACTTTCCCACCTGACCGGTGGCCGGCCCTCCCCGGCACACAAGCATGCAAACCAGGACCTGGCCCCGCCCCACCCGTGGTTGGTGGAGCCCAGGCTGGGGTGAGGGTGAAGTTCCTCCCTTCCCCAGCGTGTCCCCGGGGCTAAAGCCAGCCCCCACCTCAGAGCCACATGGGTTTGAGCTGCCCCCACCCCCACCCAACAGAGACCGGGGGTGTGTGTGCCCCCCAGCACTCGGGGATGGCAGCTGCAGCCTCGGCTTGGCCGTGGGGTTTGTGTCCTGGGGGTTCCCCCAGGGATGAGTGGCTCAGGAGCCCTCAGGGGAGACAGAAGGGACCCCCTGGAATGGAGGGCCTAGAATGGGGACCTGAGAAGAGACAGGCAGAACAGATACAGATAAATTTGTTTTTAATAAAGGAGTTAATTTTCTTTCAATCCTATATAAAACAATAGCAATTAAAAACTTCATTTTTGAAAGTAAAATATTTACATATGAACAAGTTAACTGTGCAAAATTTACATGAAAAAATGGAAAGACAGGGATTTCCTAAAAGACAAAATAAAAGGCTAACAGTTCCTGGGGCTTGTCGGAAACACAGACCTGCACTCAGCCAGGCCGGTCTGACCGCAGTGCAGGCTGCTGCCCCTGGAGGCTGAGTATTTACAGTCATAAAAGTACTATCAATAGACGATTTAATACAATAACCTCTGAAAATATAAAGAACCAATTAGTATATTTGTAATAAAAAAATAGGTACAAAGAAGAGGCTTTGCTGTGGGCGGCTGTAAAGGGGGCCCACGGCTTGCATACAGTCTTGTAGCAAAATAATTATCGTTTACATTGCCATTCTGTCATGTGCCAAAAAATTATGTACAATTACTGACAAAATACACAACCATTTTCCAACACTTGATTCACACTGAGAAACTGCTGTCGGGTGAGTCTGCTCAACTCGGATTTTATTTCATCTAAGCTTCCACTTTGAGCTAAAAAACACAGTGCAAGTAAAATATATTTATGCTGAAAAGGTCTTCGTCTCTCGTTTACTTTACAGCTTTACAAACGATAGCAAATAAAATGCCTCTGTACAGATGCTCGCGGCGGGCCTGAGAGCGGGCGCGCGCGCACGTGCACAGACGCCGGCACGCGCAGACGCCGGCACGCGCAGACGCCGGCACGCACGCACGCACGCACGCACGCGCGCACGAGCGCGAGCGCACTGGACCGCGGCGACGGGTCTGCGATGCGCTGTGGATTCCGCAGAGGGGCGGCGGCGGGATAAATAGTCTAAAAACACCAGCTCGCGGCGCCGACTGACTCTTACAAAAATAAAATACATGAGGTGAGGTCGTGGCTGGAGACGGTGCCTCGGTGGCAGTTGGGCGGACACACCGATGCACGCGGACGCGGCTACGCTGCGGGCGGCCGGCCGGCCGTCGGTCTAGATATGGCTTGTTTGGCAAGAAGGCCACTCAATCGAGGATGAGCTAGGGTTTCGCTGTCCGTTGGAGTATCCACAGGCCTGTTCTCTGCTGCAGACGCGCTCCTCCCCGCAGAGCTGGCTTACAAACGGCTAGAAAACGGCTCCGTTGGAAAGAGGAGGCTGTTTTTCAACAACATCCCATTTGCGAGTTACAAAAAGGCGTAATCTGCAAAGATATAAAAACGTCCCCGGGCGCCCCATCAACCCCGCGCCCCTGCCCGGGTCACTTCAGGAGTGCCTTGTAGAGCAGCAGTGAATGGCTCGTCTCTCGCTCGTTTTCCAAGCAAAATATGAGGTCCCTGAGGTTGACGCGCGTGATCCGCTGCCGCGCGAACTGTCGCGGGGCGCCCACGCCGGAGCTGCCCGGGACCGCCGCGCCGGGGCCCGATCCCTGCGGGGCGGCAGAAGAAACAGGAGTTAGCGGTGCTTGGGGCCAGGCAAGGGAGGCTTTAGGGTACTGGCTTCCCTGCCCACCCAGGACCCTGACTAGGGAGTCATCAGACTAGGGCTGCTTGCTGTCAAGCTCCTAGACTTAACAGATTTAACACAGGGGTGCTGTGAAGAGGTCTCCAAGCCAGCAGGTGTGGTACACCCAAGCCTGGGCCAAGCCCTGGGCCCGACTGGGCAAGCTCATGGTCGCCCTGTGGACAAGAGCACTGCCGCTCACACCTTAGGGACAAGTCCCGTCTCCCTGTTGTTTCTGGGCAGTGCTCCAGGGCCCAAGCGATCACAGACCCCCACCTGCAGGCACAGACGGCAGAGCCACACACACACACACACCACAGCCAGCAGCCATCATATCGCTGTGTATCTCTGCACACTGGACACTGAGCTGCATTCTGACGGAGCTGCTCACATGTCGTCTAAGCACCGTGCTGCATTGCGTCTCCAAGGGCTAGCTGTCAGAATTGCTCCTGCCAGACCAGCCACACAGACCCTGGCTGGCAATACAGGGGGCACCTTGCTGCCCAGTGGGAAAGGGAGGGAAAGCCTCGGGCACGCAGGAAAGAGCATCCGATTCACTTTCACTAAGATCCTGAGAAAGGTGTCAGGGGTGAAGGTGGCCCAGGCAGGGCTCAGCCTCTGTCTGGCCCGGCATGGAATAAAACCTAGGGTCAGGACTCAGCAGCCCACGTGCCACTCCCCTGGCCATGTTTCCACTCATTACAGCCCACGTGGTGACCAACAGCTGGGTGATGGCGCCCAGAGGACATGGCGCATTCAGTCCCATGAATGTCCCACCCACACCACCACCAACTGCCCTAACAGATTCTGAATGCAGGTGTGTCTGGGCAGCTCAGCTCCAGACACGGCTCCGAGGCTTGGGCCTCACATACTGCTGTGTGTGGCTGAGTCCTACAGAGCAGGCCACGCTGTCTGCCGTGTGGCTCCATGGCTGTTCGATTACTGTCTGCTTGAACCTGAACACCAGCCTGCCCCGTATGTCCCAGAGGCCCCGGCTGACCAGACATTGCATGTTCGGATCCTTGAGGGTCAGCGACCCTCTGCAGGTGTTTGCAGGTGTGCGCATGCTGCACCCACAGCTGGTGGCCAAGGTTCCAGCACGTAGGTGTGAAGGTGGCCTCAGGAGAGGACCCACGAGGGGGGCTGACAGTGGCCTCCAAGAGCAGGAGGCTGGGAGGGCGCCGAACACAGGTCACACACACCAGTAACATCTAGTCTCCGGCGGGCTTCGGGAAGCTCCTGCTTACATGCAGCTGGTGGGCAGGGGGTGCCACCCCCAGAAAGTTCACAGCTTCCCCAGTGTGTGTGTGTGTGTGTGGGGGGGGGGGAGGGGTCATGAAGCTTGGGGAAGCGTGAGGGGTGGGATGGGGTGAGGAGGCACTCTGCCCTGTGGGGTGCTGTCAGAATCAGGTTTGCTCTGGTTTGCACCTAGGAGTGGAATTGCTGGGTATGTGGAAATTCATTATGCCATTCTCACTCATTTTATTTGTATTATGGAGATTTCAAACAGGTTTTAATAATTGAGATTAAGCTCCAATAAAAAAGAGGAATGTTTGGGTGCCGGTGTGGGGTGAGGGGTGACTTTGGACAGGTCATCTGAATTGCCCTGGGCACCGGCTCCAAGCTGTAAAACGGTGCCCCCATCAGACTACTGGCAGGATCCGCTCAAAGGAGGCTGCTGTGCTTGAGGGGGCCCGTCTTTCAACTGTCAAAAATGCAACCCCCTGGCCTCAAAGAACTGACCTAAAACCCAACCGGCAACAGGAACAGGCTCTCTGGCGCCGGCTGGAAAGGTGACGGTGACCCAAAGTGGCACCGCTGTTTGACAGGAACGCCCTCTGTCGATGGGTGAGCACTCAGGCACGCTCCTCACCGCCCGTGAGTGCCTCCGTGGGCACCAGCTCGCAGCACGGGCTTGTCCCCCTTCACGCGGCACGGGCACGTGCAGGCGCCTGGCACAGAAACTAGCAGTTCCAGGAAGCTGAGGGCACTGGCAACCCCAGCACCTGTCTCGAGTATCTCCTCCCAAACCAGAAGGTCCTTCCACACAGGACCTAACAGCAGACACTGCCCAGGCTCCGTCCCACGAGCGGGGTGGCTGGGGCCATCACGCCCCCCGGCCTGAGCTCCCTGCGGGGCCTCCACGGCACAGACCAAGGGGCTGTCTCCGCGCGCACAGCTTCTGGGGCAGGAAACACGCCACACCAGAAAGTGCCGAGCACACTGGGCGCACGGGAAGTTGAGAGCCCGCAGGGCAGAGAACCTCAAAACCTGGGAATCCGGCCCCGCCCCCTTCCTCCGGACGGGGTCTGCAGTGCTGCCAGAAGAGGACGCCGAGACGCCCGGACCCCACGCTGGGCCGGGCCGGCCGGAGGGGAAGGCGCGCCGCGCCGCCTCCAGCGAGACGGGTTCCGAGAACCGAGTGCACGGACGCGGGCCGGGAAACAAGCCCAGGAGCGGCCGGGGCGGGGCTTGAGCGCGCCAGGAAATGACCTCAGAGTGGGGGCGGAGCCTGGCCGGGCGC